CTTCCCCGCCGCCGCCGCACACCCACACACACCCACCCGCCGGCTCCGCTCCGCTCCGCACCGGAAGAGCCGGTTACTCCTGTGCCCCACTTACTGCTCCCACCCCTTCCGAGCCGCAGGCCCGGTCTCCAGGACAACCCCCAGCACTATCCCGGCCAGGAGCGATCGGGGAGCGGGGTGTCGGATAGGAGAGGGCCGCCCGAGATGAGAACAGAAAGTGGGGCCAGATGCACCCTTCCCGTCTAGTGCAGAAGGAGGACAGTCACCTCCCTTCCCGAATAAGACCCCTCCTCATCCCATCGACTCAGAGAGCTTCCGTGCTCTTCAAGAAAGGGTGAGGGTAAGATGTCAGTATGCCTGATACCTGGGTGTTTACTTCTTGCCAGAGGACAACCCAGGCAGCAGCTGCGCTTCTCCCCACATCCAGACGACAGAGGGCAGACTGACCCCACATGTCCCCGAACATTCCTCAATCCCATCAGAGGAGGCCCATCACCCACCACTGCCCTCTAGGAAGCCACTAAAAAGGGGAGGGGGTAAACGATCCTTTTTCTCAGCAACCTGTGAGAAGGGTACCTAGGGATTACTAGGAACCTCTCTCAAACCAGGCCAGTAGGCGGGTACTTAAATGGGGAGGGCTAAATGAGCGCCTGCTCCCCTTTTCTCACCCTCCTGGCGTTCCTGCGGCAGCACCCGGATACTGGGGGCAGTGGCCACCGTGTTTCGTTTGCATCCCTCTACCTTCCTCGCCGCCTCCAGTTACTCCTGGAATTTAATCCCAAACACGACCGCGGACCACCCTTTCTTCCCCCCAGCTTACTCCCAGCCCATGGAGCAAGACTCAGAAGAGTCTGAAGCAAACCCAGATATCTTGTCCTCTCATTTCTGGAGGGGGTGGTGGTGGTGAGAGCATGAAAAGGGGCAGAGTTGGGGACGCAGCTGGATTTGGGGGTACGCAGAACTCCCCAATGGAGGTAGGTAATTATTAAAGATCTCCCTGGCCCTCGCTGGCTGAATGGTTCATAATGTTGGTAGGGAGATGGCCCTCAACTCTGTAACCATTTTAACTTGCCCCCCTTCCTCTCCAAGTTACTGCAAAGCAGTCTCCTCTCCCTCTATATTTTGGGGAGGCTAGATTCTCCTACAGCAAAAGGACTATAACCCTTCTCTTCTCTCCAAGTTGGTATGTGCCCCCAAGATTCACGCACAACCCTGTTTCACACACTGCGAGGAGCTTCTCCATGATGTTCTCAGGAGAGGATGAAGAAAGCCCTAATTTCCTTAGGGGTGGGGACTCTCTTTGCATCTGAATAGAAAAGCCTGGGCTTCCCTCGCCTGTTCCACCACCCCAATACCCTTAGAGATTTAGTCCCAGCGCCT